AAGTAAAAGCTAATTATAAACATAAGCCTCATTGCCCAAATAGATGTAGGCTCCCTACAAGTAAACTTTTCTTAGAAACTTTACTTTTGAATACCTGCTATGATTTCAGAAAAAAAAATATTAGAATACTTTCTACGTGATGCATTGCTTTTGAATTGATTTTGCATACCTTTTACTTGCAGTAAACATAACCTTGTAATGTTTTTAATCTGAAGACATATTAAGTTGGGTTTCCCAGGTGACTCTGTGGTAAAGAATCTGCCTGCCAATGCAGGAGACACAGGAGATGTCGGTTTGATCCCTGGGTCGGGAAGATCCTCTGGAAGAGGAAATGGCAATCCAGGTCAGTATTCCTGCCTGGAAAAAAATTCATAAACAGAGGAGCCTAGTGGGCTACAGTCCATGAGGTCACAAAGAATCAAATCAGACAGGACTGAGCAAGCATGCACCTTTGAAGTTTCCATGGAAGGGACACTTTTGTCATCCTGAGGACACCATGGCCTACATCTCAGGTTAGGAAGCACAACAGCCTAATTATAATCTTTAGTTTTGTCAAGCGGATCTGGCATAGTACAAAACCAAATGTCACCCTGTCATGTTTATGGTTTTTTTAAAAGGTCAAAGACTGCTACCCATCTTTTTCCCTTTAGCAGTTTTAAAGAACATGGGCTCCTTTAGAGAAAGCTAATTCTTAGGAGTAACCAAAATCAAAAAGAGACCTTCTGCTCCCTCTTTAGACAGACTCATCTGGGAGAAGCAAGGCAAGAGGTGGGTACTGTTTCTCAGTTCTTCTTTGATTCCTAGTCACACCTTTTCCTCGTGAATGACTAGGCACAGCTGATGTTCATTAAGCCTTTCCAGGCTGTGGGCTCCCAATGGGTTCAGGTGATTTGGGAGGTGATTAGGTCAAGAGGGTGGAGCCTCAGGAATGGGACTGTCTGTAAGAGACCCCCACGCTCTACCCTTTCACGAGAACAAGCCCAAAGACGCCATCTCTGAACCAGGGAGCGGGTCCTCCTTACAGACACAGAATCTTCCAGCGCCTTACTCTGACGCTTTCTGGCCTTGGAAACGGTGAGTGATGAATTTCTGTTGTTTATAAGCTACCCAATCGATGGTATTTGTAACAGCATCCCAAACAAACAAAACCACTCAGTTCTTTTGTTTTTTTTTTTTTTTTTATGGCCAAGAAAGCTGAGGCCCAGAGACATTAAGATTACATAGCAAGTAAAAGGCTGAGAAGTGGCTCTAAACCAGCTGTCTGCCCCCAGGACACGGATTTGTTTTTCCTTTTTAAAAAAAATTGAGCTTTAATTGGGCTTCCCTACTGGCTAAGATAGTAAAGAATCTGCTTACAATGCAGGAGACCCAGGTTTGATCCCTGAGTCATGAAGATCCCCTGAAGAAGGGCATGGCAACCCACTCCAGTATTCTTGCCTGGAGAATCCCATGGACAGAGAAATTTGGAGGGCTACGGGTCAATAGTTCATAGGGTCACAAAGAGTCAGACATGACTGAGTAACACTTTCATATTTTCACCATGCTGGACCTTTGTCCTTAATTGCTTTATAACTGGAAATTTGTAGCTTTTAATCCCCTTCACTAATTTTGTCTACCTGAATCCCCCCCGCTCTGGAAACCACCAGTCTCACCAACCTATGAGCTCAGGTTTTTGGGTTGTTGTACTGTTTTTTAGACTCTGCATATAAGTGAGATCATATGGTATTCATCTATCAGTTCCTGACTTAGTCTACTTAGCATGACACTCTCAAGGTGCTGCAATATTTTTGCAAATGGCAAGATTTTATTCCTTATCATGGCTGAATAATAGTCATATATGTCATACACACACACACGGCTGAATAATAGTCATATATGTCATACACACACACGGGCTGCCCTGATGGCTCAGTGGTAAAGACACACACACACACACACACACACAGCTCAGCGGTAAAGAATCCACACACACACACACAGCTCAGCGGTAAAGAATCCACACACACAGCTCAGCGGTAAAGAATCCACACACACACACACAGCTCAGCGGTAAAGAATCCACACACACAGCTCAGCGGTAAAGAATCCACACACACACACACAGCTCAGCGGTAAAGAATCCACACACACACACATGGGCTGCCCTGATGGCTCAGTGGTAAAGAATCCACACACACACACACACACAGCTCAGCAGTAAAGAATCCACACACACACACACAGCTCAGCGGTAAAGAATCCACACACACACACACACACAGCTCAGCGGTAAAGAATCCACACACACACACACACAGCTCAGCAGTAAAGAATCCACACACACACACACGGGCTGCCCTGATGGCTCAGCGGTAAAGAATCCACACACACACACACACACACACACACACACACACACAGCTCAGCGGTAAAGAATCCACACACACATACACACACAGCTCAGCGGTAAAGACACACACACACACACACACACGCTGCCCCCCTGGAGGAGGGCATGGCAACCCACTCCAGTGTTCTTGCCTGGGAAATGCCATGGACAGAGGAGCATGGCAGGGTATAGTCCATAGGGTCGCAAAGAGTCGGACACAACTGAAGTGACTTAGCATGTATGTACAAACACACACGATATGACGTTTTCTTTATCCACTCATTCATGAGCAGGCACAGGTGGTTCTGGGCTGTTGTACATAATGCTGCAGTGAACATGGTGGGATGGGGTGGAGGTATCTTTTCAAGAAAAAGTATTCTTGATCACCACACACAGCCTCAAGCCTATGGTGACAAAAATGATTCATGGTATAACTCCCATAGTTGTTGCAGCGGTGAGGTGTGAAATGTGCAACTCTTCAGTTAGGGAGTAGCAGCTGATGGGGGATAAACTGTACTTGTGTCTCATTAAAAAATTGGTAACTGTATATTCAATATATATTAAAAAATACTTGTGAATTTGCATTTAACCGATGGATTAACACAACTCTTTTTAAATCAGCATTGCATTTATAGACTGTCCTCCCTAAGGTTATGAATCCTCTGCAGGTGGGGGCTGGACCTTTCGCATTTTTGTGTTCCCGATAGGATGTAGAGTGTCATAAACATTTCATGAGTGGATGGGGGTCAGGGCACTACTAGGAATACTACTAAATTTTCATCTGCAGTCCCAGTTGGCACCCCCCACCTTGTTTGCTAATCCTTAGCCTCGAGTGCAGTACTTGTTCTAATCCTGAATAGCCTATGACGAAAGATCTTAAACGCCTGGAGAATATCCAAAATGATTTCAAGTTATAAATGGAATCTCCTATCAGAACAGAGTATTGATTCCTGGACCTGATCAAGTATAATTTAGACACCAAGCAGCTCTAACATCCAATAGGCTATATTCTTTTCTCCCCAGGTGGACGGTGTATCTTGTCATCAGGTTCACAACAGTTTATTTTAGAGGTGGTTTTTCTCAAGAATATTAGAATCCTTTAAAAAGGGGTGCTTCCCCGCCTGTGGCTCAATTTTCAGTTTCCAGATACAACACTTGGTTTCTCATAATAATGCCTTAACCTGTACTTACTTAATGGCATTTAGGACCAAAAAACATGCCAACAGTAACTCCTTTCCTCAGCGGGTGAAAAGTATGTGCTCAATGACGAAAATGGCTACCTCCAGCAGAAAGACTATAGCTGTCATTTCTGTAAAGATTATTTCTGTCTGATGGAGTATAAAATTACTCTTAATAGATTTTCAAAACCTGTTAAGTTTCAGTTTTATTTTCTTTGAAAATACACAAATATTTTTAAACGTAGTTTAAGGTTGTTGGATTTTTGAAACTCCACACAGACACACCATTCATACCAAATGAATCACTCCAGACTGCTAAGTTCATGTACCAACTTAACTCCACGATATTCAGGATAAATGAGTTAATACTATAAACACTTAAAACAAAAACCAACAGTCATATCATGCTGCTGTAAACTGAACAACCAGTGTGTGGGTGACTGATACAAAGAATTTCAGTGGCAAACTTAGAAATCCCTTAAAAAACAGATGTGAACGGAGAGTGAGCTGATGTAACCATTCTACATTTGGGAAAAATATTCTCCTTGTGAATTCTAGCAATGGATAAAATACCATGTTTTAGAGCAGGACCATCCCTAGCATTGTGACTTCAGCCAGATCTTCAAGGTTCAGGCGAGGCGGACAAGAGGAAGGCTTTAGGCAGGGGAAGGGATGAACTCCAGAATGGGAGTAAGTTGTCAAATGCCAGAACAGTGAAGCCTGCTTACATGGAACACAGTTACATGTCAGAACAATGGGAATTAAAAGGAAAATACTTAAAAAGTTAAGACACATACTCCCAACACATGTCTGCCATCAAGTTGTAGGGGAGTTGAAATTATTCTGGATCAAGGTCCAGTCTGAAAAAAGAAATCACAACAGCAAGAATTTGGAGAGCAAGACACACACACCTCAGCTTGGCTGAGTACATTGCCAGTGTGTGGCTGTATTTTCTTCAGGGGTCACCACTATATTTGATGGACTTGAGAAATGCTGGTAACTCGTATAAAAAAGCCTAACAGAACACTTTTAAATAAAATACTGGACCAGGTCAAAGCTGAGCATCCCGTGGGCTTTCAGGTCTATGCATCAGTATTTAAAACAGGGAGGGAAAAGAGCAGCTCTCTTCATATTTTCAGCAAACGTCTTTGCAGAAGCTTAGACTTTTTAGATCAAATACACAGACAATACTGCAGTTAAAGGAAAAACTCAGAGGGCCTACCACGTCTCTACATAGGAAGAAAACTTAAAATGATGTGCCATCAACTGTAAGGTACAAACGGAACTCAGAAGAGCACGTGCTGAGTACCCTTTGCTAAGTGGCATAGAAGGTAGGGTGACCCCCTGGACATCCCTGTTACATCAGGAGTGCAATTCAGTTTGGGGAAAATAGTTTAATGTACTTTTCAGAAAAAAAATTTGTTTCTATTTTCTCATCTCTGACAAAGCAGTGCTTAGGAAGTCCAGCGCCACCAGGCCACCTTCATCCGGTCCCATACGGCCGAGAGCGAATCCAAAGCGGGCCGCACGTCCAGAATGGTGAACTGGTAGTCTTGGTTGACCTCACCACCATCGTAGTAGTCAATGACATATCTTACTTCCGTCCCGCAACGGTTGATGATCCAGTCATGCCTGTCGAAAGGCAGCTCGTACCTGAAATGAAGACATGCTGGTGGGGGTTACCACGCCTGTGCGATGCTGAGCTGAGGTTTGGGTGGCAAGAAAGCCAGGAGGGCAGTGTGTAGGGAGGCCGGCTCTCGGAGTCCACCTTGGATGAAAGGTGAGACTCCGATAAGCACGGTCCACAGTGCTGCGGGAAGGCAGGGCTGGAAAGCGGGAGGCGCCCCCATCAGCAGACAGCTCATCTGCTACAAGGGAAGAAGGTCAATGGCAGGAAGCACAGCCAGGCTGGGGAGGTTAGCTCGGCACCTGCAGAAATGCAGGGGAAAGTGAAAGTCGCTCAGTCGTGTCTGATTCTTTGCGACCCCATTGGCTATACAATCCGTGGAGTTCTCCAGGCCAGAATACTGGAGTGGGTAGCCTTTCTCTTCTCCAGGGGATCTTCCCAACCCAGGGATCGAACCCAGGCCTCCCGAATGGCAGGCGGATTCTTTACCAGCTGAGCCACAGGGAAGCAGGTGGGAGCTGTGAACCCCACAACTGGGAGCGTGGTGTGCATAGGCGGGCAAAGCGGGAGTGTGGGAGGAGCGAGGGGACGGTGCAAGAACACAGAGAAGGTGACTCCCGTCAAGCCCGTGAGAAGTCGACGGGAAGGAAGCCCGAGCTGCCTGCCAGCGCCACCTGGAGGGAGCACCAGAGGTCTGCAGCTGAAAGTGAAGCATGGTTCACAAGACGGCACTGCAGTTCTTTGACTGCCTGGTTTTAATGCCAAGAGCAAGCAGACTGTGACCTCAGGAACAGGACATTTCTGCAGACACTCACCCCATCCAGGAGCGAATTCTTGCCCGTGGTGAATACTCTTTCGCTTTGCCTCCAAACCGGATCAGGGATGGACCACAAGGACACTCACTAGAAATCCCCAAAGAAGAAATATCTATTAAGATAACTCTCTTTCCCTTGAAAAACAGAACAAACGTTGCAGTTTCTCCATAACACACATTTTTCTGTATACATTTTACATAATATTAGAGAAAGGTAACTTTGAAAAACCTCACAGAAATATCCCTATTTGCTTAAAAAAATGCTTTGCTTTAACTTCTGGATCAAGTGCATGCCATTCCCTCCCCTTCCCTTTGAGTATCTGCTGCTTTTGGCAGGAGTCGGGGGTCAGGGCCTGTCCACATGGTGTACTCTCAGGAAAAAAGGTCAGGTATCAGGCAGGAACTCTCCTCTTGCACAAAGAGCAGCTGGGGTTTTTTCCAGATGAATTTAAGAAAACCCTATACGCCTCTCTCGTTTGAAACCAACGAGCAACCTTCATGAAGAAAACCGCTGCTCTCCCTAGGAACTAATGTAATCAGTATTGGACCATCTCTTTAAATAACTGTACACAAGCTGATGGGTGGGGGGACAAGGTCCTGCTGAGACAATCTACTCACTCTCTGGGCAGATCCTGGGCTTGAACTTTCTAGGTGCCCTGCCAGCCCCCACCCCCAAACTCACGGGGGCCCAGGGTGAGTCTCCTGGTCATCTGGCATAAGGCACACAGCACTGTCCCCTGCAGGGGGAGTGGAAAATACAAGAGGCCACTTGTCTTGGCAGCTGCTGTCACTTTAAAGACAGGCTTTGGCCTAGACAGGTCTCTCTTTAATGAACTGGGATGGAGCAAAGCATCCCACATGTGATGGGCCCCCAGCTGAGGACTAGCCAAGCTCCTTTCATTCTCAGCTTTAACAACAGCACACCTGCAGCATAGGTCTCCACATTAAGTGGATTTTGTCCAAGAAGTTAATCACATTTTGCCATGAATTAAAAACATGAGCCACCAACCATGATGACATCTGGCTTCGTGGAGACACGCCCCATCCCCTACCCTTCTCCAGGTGGAGCCCTCAAACAGGCACCATTCTGGAAATGCTCACCCCAGATCGACTGAATCAGAAATCCTGGGGGCGGGGCCCAGCGCTCAGTATTGCAACAAACCCCTAGGTATTGCTGAGGCAGCTCAGGCGTGAGGACCATGGCTCTGAACAGACTGATGGCCCATCGCCACTAACTCACAACTGCATTTAGCTAGTCTCCCAGAGAAAAAGTGTGTAGTTTCTCAGTCGTGTCAAACTTTGCAACCCTATGGACTGCAACCTACCAGGCTCCTCTGACTATGGGATCCTCCAGGCAAGAATACTGGAGTGGGCTGCCAATCCCTTCTCCAGGGGATCTTCCTGACACAGGGATCAAACCTGGGTCTTATGCATTGCAAGGAGATTTTTTACCATTTGAGCCACCAGGAAGCCTCATCTCCCCAAGAAAAATGATCATGTGCAAAGATGCCTCTTGATGTTTACTCCTGATGGGGATTCAATACATGCTGCTGTGTGAACAAAATCTTTCCCAGCTCCCTTGGGGCAGAGAGCATTTTAGAGTTTCTAGCCCCTGTGCTCTGCCTGGAATGGACTGTGATGCTCCTCCTGTTGAGAACTGGGGTCTAAGCCCCTCCCCTTGCATCTGGGCAGGCTTGTGACACCATGGGACTTCCCAGACTCGGTCATCACAGAGATGCAGTGTCCCTGGAGCTTTCTCTAACTCTAGCTCTGGGAACCCAGTCACCATGGCGTGAAGAAGCCAAAGCAGCCACATTTAGAGGCCATGGGCAGTCGTCCTAGCTGAAAGCTGGCATGGTATCACTTACCAGGGGAGTATATGGGGCCTTCGAAGGCTTCCAGCCCACAGCTGTCCAGCCATGCCTGACCACTAAGTCTTGGTGGCTACGACCCCATGCATCAGGGAGCAGAGACCAGCCATCCCTGCTCTGTCCTTTCTGCACTTTGGACTCACTGAACCCATGAGCATGATTAAACAGCTGACATTTTATATGGCTGAGTGGGGCAGTCTGTCACCAAGTCACTGAGACAGGCCTGCTACCTAAAATGTTTTAATAGAATAGCACAGTGTTGGACTAAAGCTCTTCTGTATTTCTTTCATAGAAAGCAGCTATGAAATCAGGACGATGCTGGAAGAATGGTTTTTTAAGCTCTCGAACATACTTACGCAGCGTGAAGGGCTTCCCATTTCAAAATCTCCTTCCAAGCTTGCTCATTATTCTGGTTGTGAATCCTAATGATGTTATACATGTCTTTCTGACTAATATCCTCATCCTTCCATTTCCACCTAGGAAAGAACATTTGGTAAAACTTGACAAAGATTACTGCGAATGCCATGTATTCATTTCACTGTGTCACCAAAAATCCGGTTTATCCAAATATCAAGGATCCCTTGATTTTTTAAGTGACACTTTTTCAATTAGTATCACAAATTCCCCTTTTCTAAGTATTTTATGTAGCAGTGGTGCTTAAAAAAACTTACTGGCTGTGATGGGTTAGTTTTATGTGTCAGCTTGATTGGGCCATGGGGTACCCAGATAGTTGGTCAAACATTATTCTAGATGAGATTAACATTTAAATGGGCAGAGAGTGCCCAGCTCTAAAAGCTGAAACAAAACAAAAAGAACAAAAAGGCGGAGCCTCTGCAAGAGGCAACTCCTTCTGCCTGCCTGCCTTCCAACAGGGACATTGGTTTCTCTTCTTGCCTTTGGACCTGAACTGAAATATAGACTCTCCTGGGTCTCCAACCTGCCGAGTTGATTGTGGAACTTCTCCACCTTCATAACTATGAGTCAGTTCCTTACCATAAATCTCTCTATACATATAGTAAGATATATATATCTTATTAGTTCTGTTTCTCTGGAGAATCCTAATACATTGCACTTATATTCTGGTTAAGTCTGAAAAATCAGTTGGTTAGTATAAAAATTTACTGTACACCTGGGGGATAAAACCTCTAACATTGAATTCTTAGATTAGATTCATCTAAAAATTAAATGTTAAAAAGGTTAGATTCACAAGCAAATTTATAGCCCCAGTAATATGCTCACTCACTCACCCTTTCCTTAACATCGCATTCCAGAACATCTGTTCAGAAGGATAAACCCACTTTTTATCTGAATCTGCCCTCGGAATAGACGATTCCTCTCTCACAGTAGATAGTGGAAACGGCTGGTCGGGGGCTGGTGTTTGATTAGGAGGTGGCATCTATGTAAAATAAGTGGGTTAAAAAAAAAGGTTGGAAATACAAAGTAGAAACAAGCAACATAATTACTCCCTGGCAAGCAAGGCATCACATACACAGCCCAGTTTCCTTATTAAACCAGCGACATCAGTTTCAGGCCTCTGAGTTGTGAAGAGTCAGAGCGCAGAAAATCTTTTCCTTGTTGACTTCACATAAATGGTAAATACATGCTACAGTCAAACATTTGGTCTCTTTCTCAAGGATTAGAAAGGAAAAACTAATACCATGATGGGCAGGCACTGCTACAAATTTCTGGAAAAGATGGGGCGATAGATGTGTATGTGCATTGATATGTATACAAAACAGAATACCACCACTTTCTCGATGGCATTCTGTCACTGGCAGTCACACACGGCTGGCACCCAGCTGTGCCTTAAGAGGCACCCCAATCTTGCAGTGTGCCTATGGTGTTTCCCCAAACCAGCAACATCTTTCTGAATTCTAGCCATGCTCCTAATAGACCTCCCGCCCACCAAATACTCTACCTCCAAAGCAACATCCTCTGGTGTGGCTGATTCCAGGTAAGCCTGCTCTGGCGCTTGGGGACAGCCCATCACTTTCCCAGGTGCTCTCTGAAACTACACTTAGTGACAGAGTCTAGATTTTTCACTATGGATGGAAAATCAGACTTCTCCGTTTTAAAAGGACAGAAGGATCAATCCTAGCAGCCTGTAGTTAGGGAGCCTGTAAGAGCATCCCTACATTAAAAAATTCCGGGCAGAGGGGCTGGTCGAGGATTACCAGGTTCGAAGGATCCAGGTTCTCCTTGTTCCCAGCCTTGGCGCCGGTGATGGGACACTGCACGTACTCATAGGCGCGCTCCTGGTGTGCAGGCACAGAGCTTATTTTGCTCCCACAGGTTGAGTCGGATGGCTCGGCATTCACTGGACAGCCTGAAAGAGACGAAGGGTGAAAACACCGTCACCACAAAGGCAGGACATCTGGCTCTCAATCTGGGCCCTGAAAAGTCAAAAGTCAGGGATCACCGGCACAGCCAAAGTCAGGATTCTACTGGTCACAGCTACCAAGAGCTAAGCCGGCCGACAATCTAACATCCTACAGACCAGGAAAAGGCTCCATAAATTAACCTTCCCCTAGAAAAAGAAACGGGTACCCATTCTCCTATTGTGTTACTCCCCCAAGAAAAAAAAAGCCCCAGAGTCTCAGCATTGGCAAGAGTAGGTACTGCCCACAGCAGAGTGTTAGGAAACAGAGCAGGGAATTGCTATGAGCTGTTACAGAGGTACCTCTGGGGGCAGGGCCCCAGGTGAATGGGTCTCCCCGACTCTTCTATTCCCCAGTTCCAGACAAGACCCAACTCCCACCAGGGCACAGGAGGCCAGGCTTTCATTATGGACGTCCTCTCTCAGGGACTGGGGACAGGAGATAAAAATGAGCAGAGGAGCCGTCCAAAAGGGTCGTGGAGAAGATTCAGGATGCTACTATGCTTTGTCCTGCTCTAGGACTAAAACTAGACCACTTGGCCGAGGCTCGATTTGCTGTCAGGAGATAGCAAGTTCATTAAGCAAAGGCACCCACTAAAGAAAACATCCCCCAGTCCACATGGGATCCAGATGCCACTTCGAGAACAGCAGCAGGTGGGGGAGTCAATGCCCAAGGATCCTGGGTGCTGTTGGAAACAAGTGTGCGGGCCGGGAAGGAGGTATAGACACAGGAGGCGGGCAGGCAAGGGGAGAGCTATGGCCCAGGAAGACACAGCTGGTGTAAAGGAACCCTTATCTTAGGCAGCAGCAGTGAACACCAAGGAGACACTGAACTCTGGGCGCCCTACACACAAAAGGTCCTCTGCGAGGACCCTGCAGAGCTATCTACTGAGGGGTGGAGGGAGACTTGTTCCACCCCTCTCCTCGCCAGTCTCTTCTGGAACACTGGTCCCAACTGGTGTTGGAAAGAAAATCCTGTTTATGTTTTTCATATCAGAGAGCCAGTAGCCCCTTCAGTCTCCTACAGATACCCATCTTCTTTCCTAACACAAATTCATCTGACAGCTCTCCTAGGAACACAGCAAATGAAATCACACCCTAGACAGGGCTGTGTGACTTTCTGGGGATGCTCAGAACAGACACACACCTGCTTCTTCCAAGTCTGCCTCCATTCTGCCTGTAAGGAGAAACCCTAGAGCACTGGACTGGTCCTTATTCAAGGCCCCAGAACTTTTGCTGGCTTTGCCACTTACTAGCTGTGTGACTTGTAAGTTTCCTTAACTACGAAACAAGGGGTCGGGGTGGGGGGAGACGTACCATGCAGGATTTTGAGGATGAGAATGTAAACTCCACCAGGCAAAGGATTTTTGTCTGTTTTAGACACTGCTGTTCTCTCAGTGGAAAAAAACACAAAACCACTCAGTGCTTGGCACAGGGTGGGCAGGGAGCAAATTCTTGTGGGCCGATCGAAGGAAAGAACAGCTATAACACAGGAAGCGTCAGCACTAGGTAAGCATGCTAACTGCTTCCTGCCCTCATGTCTGGGAACAAGAAGTCACACATCTGGTGGATTCAGGCCATACTTTTACAAAGACAATCTAAAGCGGCAGGTGGACCAATGAAAAAGGAAAGCATTTCAAGTCTCACTTTTGCACTAAAAAAATGAACAGCAAGTCCATCAGGCAATGACTTATTTTTTATACAGAGAGTAATCCAACAGAGGGAGGAGTAAAGCTGTCTGGATAAAGAAAGACAACATGATCTAGACCAAAGCTTCTCGGCCTGGGCACTCTCGACATCCGGGGCCAGGTGACTGTCTGTTGCAGGGTCTGCACTGTATATTGTAAGATATTTAGCAGCACTCCTGTCTTCTCATTAGATGCATCCTCCCCTCTGAGTTACAATGTGCAGAAAGGCCTCCAGGCATTGCCAAGTGTCCTCTGGGCTGAGGGGGGCTTGCCTCCCCAGCTTAAAAACCCACTAAAGTAGACAATAGCAATTTGTTGGAGTGGGGGCTGATGTATGGAGCAATCCCTCCTCGCTTACGCACGATCTCAGTCATGACCACAACCCTGGGCAATACTATATCCTCAGCTTACAGGTGATGATGGGTTGAGACTTAAGAGAAGTAATTTGTTTACAGTCACATACCCTGTAAGTAACAACAGAAGGACCGAACCCAGGTCACCCCACTCCCAGGCCTTAGGAGCCTCACCAGCATGCTATACTGCCTCCTCAGAGTTCTTTTTGAGAATTCTCTCTTTATCTTCTAGATAAATGGTCCATTACCTTTCACTTTCCCTTCATGCATTGGGCATCCAGACGTTGGGGCTGCTGTCTGATGATCTGAAGCAGCAGGGGTAGAGGTCTGAACCGAAGCAGCAGGGGTGGATGCAGACAAGCCCATGGTGAGACTCGCAGTGTTGAATCCAAGCGATTCTAAATTCACACGGGCCAAACCAGAGAGATGAGTGCTTGATGCCTGGGTTCCCCCTACTCCCTTAGTATTCTTAATCTGGCCAACCCTTGTTTTTCCTTCTTGTCACCTTTATAGACTGGGCAGGGGCTCCACTTCGCCCTCCACTTTGATGAGGGACAGCTTTAAGAGATCACCCCCTTTGGGACATACTAGTGTGAAATCTACACCTTTGGGGGGACGTTTCTAAGGGTGTGCAGACTTGGCGGGTGAAGTGAGGCGGTCCCTGAGAAACCATGTCATAGCCAGGGGGCTGTAGGCCCGGGGTTGGAGGAAAGAGGGTCCCGAGGTGGTGATCCGATGAGAGAGGAAGCCCACCGAGTCCAGACTAGACCCGCGGCACTAAGGGTAGGCAAGGGGCTGGGGGGCTGGGAAGAGTATGGCGCAGAAAAGAGACGCGAGGAAGGAAGGAAAGGTCAGCGGAGGGCACAGCGCGGCCGCAGTCTTCCTCTCACGGTCCCCGCAAGGGGCACCGTTGAGTCCCGGGATCCCAGACACCGCCCCCGGCCTCTGCTTCAGCCAGCCTGCCCCTCCGCACCTGACTCCTGTACCCGGCTGCCGGTCCCGCCTCTAACCGCCAACTCCGGCGCGGAGTGGCAGCAAACCGCCGCCACCACCTTCCCCTCCCCTCGTTCGGTCACCGCTGTTGCCCAGGTCACCGCCGGCTACCGCTCACGCCGCTACTTCCTCTTCCGAAGGCAGGACTTCCGGGCGCGTGGGAGGCGGGCGCACCGGCAGAAGGGGGAGGGTTTCTGTCCATCACAATGGAGTAGGCCCCGCCCCTCCTGTCCTCCTCGGCGTATAAAGGTAAAGCCCCTCTCTGGTCCCGCCCCTCCTGGCGGAGCCGACAGAGCCCTCTCGGCTTGAACAGAGACTTTCCGTAGGGCGAGGCGCTTTAAGCTGCGGAGGCGTTGCATTGGAAGAGTTTTATTTTTTTTCTTTTCATTTTTTTTTTATTAGTTGGAGGCTAATTACTTCACAACATTTCAGTGGGTTTTGTCATACATTAACATGAATCAGCCATGGAAGAGTTTTAAAATTTCTACCTTTTAAGTTGTATCCCGTCAGTTTTAATTATAGTAATGACTCAAGAAACATCAGTAGGTATGCAGAGCTGTGGCCGAATCTGGAGATCCAGAAATGAATAAAAGTTCTCGGCTCCACAGGTCTTCTTAACAGGGTGTGTGGATTTCAGTTCAGTTCAGTTCAATTCAGTCGCTCAGTCGTGTCCGACTCTTTGCGACCCAGTGGACTGCAGCACACCAGGCCTCCCTGTCCATCACCAACTCGCAGAGTTTACCCAAACTCATGTTCATTGAGTCGGTGATGCCATCCAACCATCTGTGTGGATTTGAAGGTCTGTATTTTCGCTTGCCTCTAACAGAAAGTATTTTTTTCCATCAGGAAGGCAGGCGACAAATCCTGGTAGTGGCACTGATAGCAATTACAGAGAAATTATGTTACATATGATTGTTATTTCTGTCTCAAAATACTACTATTCATTACTACTTTAAAATTAAAGTAAGTTTATCTTGTTATTTAAAATGTAAATAAAAAGCATATGTCTTTCTGTATCCCCTTAGTGCATCTCTGAAGTCTCTTTCCAGGAATTGCCCCGTGCCTAACAGAACTGCTTCAGGCAAAATCATATTCCCTCTCTGGAGATAGGCTGCAGCGCACCTAAGCCCAGGCCCCTAGCCTCAAGGGGGACAATTCAGAAGGGCTATCGCAGCTTCAGACCTGCTCTTAGGATGAGCTGAGGCTCCCACTCTGACTGCATCACAGTTCGATTTTTCCCTTTGCCTTGTCTTTCCATCACTCTCAAAGTTGTTCATGAGGACGTTTGTACGCACAAATCTTGTGGAATCTCAGCCTTTTTAATAAGTGTAATTTTACTTAGATTTGATGATAGAAAATGACTACTATTAAAAAGATAGTTTATTATACTCGCAGATCCCAAGAGTCAGAGTACATATCACACCATGAGGTGCCACACATGGGGTCACTGGGGTTGACCACTAGGCAGGGATGGAGAAGGGAACTGTGGGCATGAGCCTTTATTATGGTTTCCATAGGAAAGAGGGTTTCCAGGGTGGCACAGTGGTAAAGAATCCACCTGCTAGTGCAGGAAATGCAAGAGATACAGTTTCAATCCCTGAGTGGGGAAGATCCCCTGGAGGAGGAAACAGCAATCAGCTCCAGTATTCTTGCCTGGAAAATCACAGGGACAGAGTAGCCAGCAAGCAGGGCAAGCAGGTTGAGGATTGGCTGATTTGAATAATTTCAGCAGGCTTTGGAGCATAGGAGCTATCCCCAGTTGTTTGGTACCTGGCCCAGGAGTGATGAGGGCAGGTAGGTAGTGGCCCAGAATATGAGATCCCAGTAAGGGAGGTAACTGGGGGCTGTGGGCTTAGATGCTCAAGTCAGGGAACTGACCAGCCTCTAGCCAGAGCCTCAAAACTGGATCAAGACATCATCTTAAAAAACTATATTACTTTGGTGTGTATTTCCCGGGCAACCTAGCCTTTAACCTACACAATCTGTTTTTTTTTAAATATGTTGATAACTAATAACTATATTTCAATATACAGTCGACCTTTGAATAACATGGGCTTGAACTGCACGTGTCCATTTACATACGGGTTTTTTCTTTCCAATAAATACTAGAATCTGGGAGTGGTTGAATCATGGATATGGAAGGCTGACTGTGGGACTTAAGCTTCTTTGGGTTTGGGGATCTGTGGTGGGTTCTGGAACCACACCCCCATGGATACTGAGGAGCGACTGTAATTGGCTTCTTTTGTAATTTGTTTTGTACACGTAAAAATACTGTTTTGAGAAGATAACACACTTCACCAGATTCCCAAGGGGCACGTTTCACAAAGAGAGCAAGAACCTTTGGTAATTGAAGAGACGGGCATGTAGACAAATAACCATATTTGCATCTCAGTATGTGGATGTGCAGATTATTCCTGGCCTTTTGGAAGAAGTGACTATTGTGAGGTTGATGTGCAGCAAGTGGATAGAAAGGAAGGAGTAAGTAGAAGAATGCATTATAGAGAAGGAGCTACTAATACTGATGCTGGGAGTTACAGTAAAAGCAGTAGGTGGGCGAGAAGACTGTGGCAGGACACCTTCAGCCTCAGTTTCCACTTTCTGAATTGTTTCTTCTTGTTTGTCCCTCCACATTCTAAGTAACATGCTAACACAAACGTGCACACACATACACGTGCATCCCTCCCCTCTACCAATAGTCATAAACCATTTTGGATAAATCATGTTTAGTATTTACATGCAGTTCAGTTCAGTCACTCAGTCGTGTCTGACTTTGCGACCCCATGGACTGCAGCACGCCAGGCTTCCCTGTCCATCACTAACTCCCAGAGCTTGCTCAAATTCATGTCCATCAAGTCAGTGATGCCATCCAACCATCTCATCCTCTATTGTTCCCTTCTCCTCCTGCCTTCAATCTTTCCCAGCATCAGGGTCTTTTCCTATAAGTCGGCTCTTTGCATCAGGTGACCAAAATATTGCAGCTTCAGCTTCAGCATCAGTCCTTCCAATGAATATTCAGGACTGATTTCCTTTAGGACTTTAGTATCTACATTATTATGACTATAAAAATATTTCTAATGACTGCTGGTGACAGTTTTTCTTGTACAAAATTTCCATTAGAATTTAATCCTTGTTTTTCCTTTTTCCCCTTTGTCTAGTTTTAAATGATTACCTGTCAGCATTCAAATATATCAACTACTCTATATGTGGCTCAGACAGTAAAACCTCTGCCTACAATGCGGGAGACCGGGGTTCGATCCCTGGAGGAAGGAAATGGCAACCTACTCCAGTACTGTTGCCTGGAAAATCCTATGGATGGAGGATCCTGGTAGGCTACAGTCCATGGGGTCGCAAAGAGTCGGACATGACTGAGTGACTTCGCTTTCACTCTATATGTACGCTCAGTCACTCAGTCATGTCTGACTCTTTGCGACTCCGTGGACTGTAGCCTGCCAGGCTTCTCTGTCCATGGAATTTTCCAGGCAAGAATACTGAAGTGGATTGCCATTTATTTCTCCAAGTAACTACTGTATATGTTTTCTTTCCCCCATTCCCTTGAGTCTTCCCTCTTGGATAAACAACTCACCTCTGCCACTGCCCAGTTCTAGACTGTTTGAAATGACTTCTGCCTGTTGTCTTCCTGGACCTTGCTGTCAGCCTTTTCCTGTCTTGATTTGGATCTCTGGTTCTTGGATGCTGTGTATTTTTCTTTGCATTGTTTTGGGAGCACATCAGTTTTTAAGGTCTTGGAAATCCAAAATGTCTGTGTTTTACCCTCCCACTTGACTGGTAGCTTGGATATATAATTCTAGGTTTAGAAACATTTCATTCCAAATTGTTAAGTAATTGCGTCATTATCTTCTAGTTTCCATTGTTGATATTGAGAAATCAGATGTCATTTCTTTTTTTGTTGTTGTTTTCTTCCTCGATATTTTTAGGATCTTCTCTTCTCTTCTTTATAGTGGTCTGAAAAGATGTGCTCTTTGCTTTCACTGGCTTTGCACTTGATGGGCCCATTCATTCTGAATACTCATATCTTTCACGTTAGAGATCTTGTTACCGAAAGGAGTTTATGGTGGCTCTGGCTGCTTGCCACTCAAAAGCCAATAAACAGGCCAGATTGGTGGAAAGGAAAGGTTGCTTTATTTTAGATGCCGGCAACTGAGGGGGAGGGTGGGGGACATCTATCCAAAGGTTGATTCCCTCTGCCTATGAAAGTTGAGAGCTTTTATAGACAGATTTGGTGGGGGGTGGGGGTTACATGCAGAGACAGCATAGTCATCTCTAACAGTCATCTTCAAATTGATCATCAGTGGTCTGACCAGCATCATCTTGATTGTTTTAGGTACAGTTAATCTTCTGTCCCAGGGTCCACGTGTTCCCATTTCTTTGTGGTCAGTTCTCAGAATTGTTTTGGTATCTATAAGACAGCTCACAGAATATGGCTCAACATGATCTGGAGCCCTTGAGAAAGAACCAAAAGTCCTTGACTATTCTTAATGACTACATTGTTATTATTTAGTCTCCTTTGACTGTTTTCCTTTGTTTCAGCATTTCTCAGTTCTCTGACTAAACTTATTCTTTGACTAAAGTTTTCCACAGGCAAAAGGAAGGCAGAGGATATGGTAGGGAGCAAGGACCACAGGGTCCTGTTCTGTTTCAGTATTTTCTTATGTTATTAATTTTCTTAGTAATTTGCTCCCCTCATCTTTCTTCATTCTCTCTTTTAAGGAACTTCTATTACTCATATGTTAGATTCCTAGACTGGCAGTATAATCTTCTTACATTTTCTCTCACATTTTCTATCACTTTTCCATTTTGCTTTATTTTTAGGAGGTTTTAAAAAAAATTCCCAGCCATTTTATTAGGTTTATTTCTGCTCATGTATGAAATTTCCAAGGCATGTATTTATTTGTGTGTATGTGTGTATATGCATGTGTGCATTTGTGTGCTTTTGTATGTGAGTGTATGTGTGTGTGTGCATGCACATACTCAGGCAGTGTAAACAGGTTTGCCAATCCATGGTAATGTGAAATGAACTTCTACTGTCAGACCCAGGGTTTAGCGAAGAGGAAAAGCTGAATCTCTTTTAGAGTTACAAACAAAATTTATGACTGGTCCTGGTAAAATGAGTCTCCTTTCCAGACCTGCAATTACTTCTGTTTACAAAGTGTTACTTTGTTCTCAGAGCTCTCACAGTTCCTCATCTCTTGCACAATTCTTCTTTCTTTCCCATACTTCCATTTCTCCTATAATTCCCCATCTCTTCCACAATTATTCATTCTCTCTCACAATTCTTTTCTCTCATAATA